GTGTCCGCTTGTGGTGGAATATAAACGGCACTTACAATGACCGATGTAAATTCCCGAGGTAGATAAAAAGGACGACACATGATGGACAGTAGTTCCAGATTTGGTGTGCAGGAGCGTGTGAGAGGAACAACGTTCAACAACGTTCGCACTGTTGCACCAGTTGTTGTTCACAAGTGTGGAAAACTAATTAAAGCAATTAAAGAATGAAATCCAGAGCAGAACAACCGAATCAAACATTTTTCAAGCCTGAACAGAAGAGGTGAAGGGCTGAATAGTGAGGGGGAGCAGGTGCCCTGGTGTCAAAGTTCAGACCTGAAGTGTGTAGTTACTTTACTTTAGCCAGGTATAGTGTAAGAACAATGGTTATAGACGGGTACAAAGCATGTCTAACCTCCATAACAGGAGTTCAAATTTCATTAATAAGTATTTAATGAAATGCAAAAGCGGTAAGACTGTCATTGCAGCGTTTGGGTATCATTGTATCAAGACCATATGGTATCAAATTACACCTGTTTAAATATAAATTCCTTTGATTTATCATAGTTGCTAACTCTGGGTCCGATAACAGGCACCACACCCGCAGTAGATGTGCTCGGTGTGAGGTCTCGCAGCAAGCTATCAAATACGGAGCATTTTTCGGCTTTTAAAAAAAACGCTATGCGTTGCCAGGTGTTTCATCAGATTTGAGGTGTTACCTCCTTTGACAGTATCACAGTATCAGCTTTCAGCACTTGTTGCAGGCTGCTGAGTTTCCATCTTTTGCTGTGAAGTACAGCCAGACTTTTGACCGCTTCGCCTTGGACATTTTTAATCTGTAGCTCTGCTCTAAAAGAATGTACGTACCTGGCCCCGCCTACTATCCTCAGAAATGTAAAATGATTGGCTAGCCAAAGCATAAAGCGATAGAGTGTAAACACTACATAGTATCCATCATATTAAACTGTAAAGCAAAATGTCTTGAATGCAATATTTGAGCATTTGAATTTCTTTCGTACAAGTAACTCAGATGAAATGAACAAAGTCATGGATGGTCTCCTTCACCAGCACAATGCAAACTGTGTGCAGCTCCTCAGAGTACGGAGGTGATCAGGTTCGTGACCATGTTGTTCCTATCTCCTTCATAATGGAGAACCAAAGCAAAAATGAAAACCACAGGCTGTACAAAGCAGTGATGTTACTGCATTAAATCAAGAAATGCCAAGATTCAGTGGCCATTATGAATATAAACGCAACTTTTATCATAAAATCGGAGCACGAAATCCACACATATGTTATATTTAGTAGTGGTTATTGAATTTATTTATTTGATGCAGTAACATCTCTGTTTTATATAAAATTAAGAACCATGAAAATGCCATTTGCTTTGGGATTCTTCTGAGCGAAAGAGATAGCAAGCCACCCCTGAACCTGATCACCTCCATACCCTGAAGTGATCTGAGTTTTTACTGTGCAGATAAGCAGACCACGCCCTGTTCTTTCCTTATTTAGCCGAATTCACCTGTGTGAAAGCAGAGCACAAAAAAACTTAACTTCTTCCTTTAATCCAGGTGCACTTTGAAACTGAGCATGACTTGATTCTCTAACTCCTGACTAAAGCTGATACACATCACCTAAGTGTCAGCTACATGAAAGCGTAAAAATAAGTTACTGTAACACTTAATGTGAAACATTAACTAACATCATACACAGTCTAACCAAGGCCATAATGCACTTTCCTGTTTTGATTTCCTGAGGAAACTGTTGTAAACATAGTATGTGTGTACAGTAAACAGCCCACTGTAAGAAAACCAAAATGAGAGTCAAACATAAATTAACATAAATGTGTTGCTAGTGTTGTTTCATGTGTTTAAGCTTTGGGTATGGCTTATTTCCATTGTGGTAGTGCAGTGAAACAGCACCAGAGTGAGAAGCCAATAAGATTGCTCTAAAAATTGTTCCCTCCCATGCGATACGGTTAAATGTAGACAAATCCTTTCATAATGCAGCTTCAAACGTCTGCTGTGTCAAGAGGAAAAAAACAAAATGCTGACAATTTTTTATATACTGCTCCTGATCAAAACTGGGCGTAAGTATAGAATTCTTAATCACTGAATCACTGTGGTGTATTAATCTAAAAGATTATATGACTATATGACTATATGACTGTTGGTAACCATGATTCTGCTTTTAATTTTCAGGATGCTCAGATCATCAGATCTTTGACACCAAAAATGTTGCTGTTGAGGAAAATGTGACTCTGAATTGTATCCGGGATCGTCTTTGGCATTCAACAAACTTATTCTGGATCAGACTTGTTTCTCAGAGCTTTCCTGAAATTGTAGGATCAACAATGTCTTATGATTCTCCGATTATTGAAAACATTCATCACATTACAACAAAACAAGAGCCTGGAACTTTTGTTCTGCATATCAACGGAGCACAGTTAAGCGATACAGCTGTTTATTACTGCATCAAAGTAAGACAGCGCAAGATGACATTTTTGAAAGGAACTTTTCTTCAAGTCAAAGGTAAGTGAAACAGAAACAGCAACACTAATGAGTCAACCACAGCAAAATTATTTACCGTTTTTATGTGTTTATTTGCGCAATTCCTGAAGACACACTATTTCAATATAATTGAAATTTTTATTTAACTGAATATAATGAAACATATTTATTTTTATTTCGTAGGACCTGACCCAGGCATCACTGGTGTCACTCAAGACTCTTTGTCTAATCCCGTCCATCCAGGAGACCCGGTGACTCTGCAGTGTTCAGTCGTCTCTAATTCTGAGAACAGAACATGTACAGAAGACCACAGTGTGTACTGGTACAGAGCCAAACCAGAAGAATCTCATCCAAGTTTAATTTATAGTCATGGAAACAATGGTAATTATTGTGAGCGGAGTCCTGAGGCTGCCTCCCAACAGAAATGTGTCTACAGCTTCTCCAGGAACGTCAGCTCGTCTGATACAGGAACTTATTACTGTGCTGTGGCCACATGTGGAGAGATACTGTTTGGAAATGGAACAAAACTCGATATCGAAGGTAAGTTTTTTTCTATGCATAAATGTTCATATTTTAGTCAATATTGACTACAGAACATTTAAGTGAAGTATGTCAACAAATACTAATTAAAATGAATTTATATGTATAAATTATAAATAGTATTGCATTTCACTATTACTTCACGTTAAATAAGAGCTTTTTTCAACATACTTTCAGTTGTCCAACATTGGGATTTGCAGAAGACCAACACCATTGTCTTTCTGCTATGTGTTGCTCTCAGCATAAGCCTGATTGTCATAGCCTTCCTCATTTATACCATCAAAGAAAAAAACAAAACCTCGGGTAAGAAGAGTTACTTCTATATCGATTTCTTGAATAGTATTTGGTTAGGTCATACTCATTTACAACTGATTTGTAAAGTAAAATACAGTGAAACATTTGCTTCTGATCACTTTTTCACATTGTTTTAATCCAGCTGCTGTTTCTCTACAAACAAATACAGAATCAACTAGGACAGAACATCAAATTCATAAAGTAAGAAATTTTGCAATTAAAAGCCTGATGGAAAAATAAAACCAGCAGTTTTTAATGATAGTCTACAGATGTGCATTTCAGTTGATACATTTTGATGCATTTCTCAGAGACACGAGGACTCACTGACTTATGCTGCGCCAACCTTTATCAAGAGAAACACTCGCAAAGCAGAGAGAAGGAACACGAGAGCAACAGAGACAATGTGTATTTACTCTGATGTCAGAGCTTTTGAGTGTGGAAAAAGTGATGCTTAAGCAAAGCTTGTATTTCATCTCCCTTTCATCTTCACTTTGAACTGATATTTAATATTGGCATGCCCAGATTTCATCCACTGAGTCTGGATATTAAAAGCAGAAGAGAAAAACATTCAAATGATGAATATGTGAAAATGAGTCCAGTAATTCATCAAACACAAAATGTGCTTTGGAACAACTACAACACATCAAATCCTTGTATTTTTTAATTCATGTCCCATTTTCTTCACTTTTTTTGTTTTGCTTTGTGACAACTGTAACAGAGATACAAAACACTGCACAGAAAGTTCTAATGTACCATTTTGTTGTGTGAGCACTTTGTATCTTTCAGCTGTTTATGTCAGGTGCTCAGAAAACAACTATGTTGCCCCTGTTTGGACCTGTTTGGTTTGTGATTCAAGTTTTTCTCTGTCACCCAACATGAAATGCTTTTTATGTATGTTCTGTAGGATCTTGCAGAAGCTTTATTAAAACACTCAAATGATATCTGAAGCTTGGTTTCTCAGATTTCCACCACAGATTGTAATTAATTTGTATATATGAGAAGTAACTTTACATTAATAAATACATATAACGCTCACAGCTTTCCTGTTGCAAAGTAATGCTAGTGTGATGCTAGTCTGTTAATGTGCAACACAAGAGCTCTGAAAATGGATTTAATTAAATACATCCAACATAAAATGTAAGTAAAACACAAAATTCTATTTTAACTTTGATAGTACAACATTTAAATGAGTCATTTTCATCTATTCTCTTACGATTGAACCATTACTCTGTATACTAAGGCAATATAAATATTCCCTTTAAAATCACACACACATTTTTCTTTCTTTATTCAGCTGAGTTCACCTGTTTAAAAACAGCACAAAAGAACTTATCTTATTCAATTCATTTATACTTTGGAACTGAGCCTGACTTGATTTTCTGATTTGTCTGACTAAAGCTAGCTAACTGACTTCAATAAGCTGACAACTAACCAGAGTTGAACCGCAGGAGGGAGCTAAAAAAAAGTGCAAACTCTTAAACATCCCACAGGCATTCCCATTCATTATTGAGTGATCCCTTGTGACAAGGGAGCAAAGCTTTCATCAGTTAAATATACATACTGTTTGTGATCTTTACACTTGTTTGTGAAGGTCTGTGAAACACTCGCTATTGTTTTGTGATTACGTTATTCGTGTTCTATTTTAAATGAAGATGTTTCAGTATATTTAAATTAAAGTCATCTGTATTTCCGTATTAGGCAAATTATATTTGTATAACCCAGAATCTTTCTGTGTCACTTTGTGCTTTGTCTGTTTCTTTTTCTATTGTGACAACAGCTGACTGTTAGTGCTGACCTTTCTGTTTCATTTTTAAAGACTTTGTAAATGAGGTCACACTAAATCCTGAATTAACTACAAACTGCATAAATGAACTATGAATTACAGTATGAAGTGAGGATTCACAAAACCTCTAGTAACATGCTTACTCACAAATAGCTTGCTGTAT